ACATTCTCACTTTGTGATGTCATCAGAGGGGGGAAAGCCACACCCACTAGTGACCAACTCACCCTCATTAGCATAGGATGTCAGTCTTGTTTTTGAATCTGCCGCTATGCTGACTCATGGGTAGGCCCACACGGAATCTGCGCGCGCAGAATTCTGTAGATTTTTAGTCCATTATTAATTCTGTTTTTTAACGTAAGTGTGTAAATCTGAATTTATTCAGTTTTTATTCAGTAATTTATTACTTTTTATCTAGTATATTAAGGTTTTAGTTATGATACTCCGCTGGATACTCCCAAAATAATTCCACAGATTTTTACCCAAATTCTCCGCAGAAATAGCAAAAAACGTCCGCAGAAAAAAAACACGCAAAAAACGCCCTGCTCATGCGTAGGCCCACACTGAATCTGCGCGTGCAGAATTCCGCAGATTTTCCGCAGATTTCTGCAGATTGTTAGCTCATTATTAGATCTGTTTATTTACTTGAGTAAATGTGTAAATCTGAATGTATTCAGTTTTTATTCAGTAATTTATTACTTTTAATTTAATATATTTAGGTTTTAGTTATGATACTCCGCTGGATACTCCCAAAATAATTCCGCAGATTTTTATCAAAATTCTCTGCAGAAATAGCAAAAAACGTCCGCAGATTCCGTCTGGCCCTGCTCATGGTTAGGCCCACACGGAATCTGCTCGCGCAGAATTCCGCAGATTTTTAACTCATTATTAGATCTGTTTATTTACTTGAGTAAATCTGTAAATCTGAATTTATTCAGTTTTTATTCAGTAATTTATTACTTTTTATTTAATATATTAAGGTTTTAGTTATGATACTCCCAAAATAATTCCGCAGATTTTTACCAAAATTCTCCGCAGAAATAGCAAAAAACATCCGCAGATTCCGTCTGGCTCTGCTCATGGGTAGGCCCACACGGAATCTGCGCGTGCAGAATTTCGCAGATTTTCCGCAGATTTCTGCAGATTTTTAGCTCATTATTAGATCTGTTTATTTACTTGAGTAAATGTGTAAATCTGAATTTATTCAGTTTTTATTCTGTAATTTATAAATTTTTATTTAATATATTAAGGGTTTGGTTATGATACTCCGCTGGATACTCCCAAAATAATTCCGCAGAAATCAGCAGATTTTTACCAAAATTCTCAGCAGAAATAGCAAAAAACATCCGCAGATTCTGTCTGGCACTGCTCATGGGTAGGCCCACACGGAATCTGCGCGCGCAGAATTCCGCAGATTTCTGCAGATTTTCAGTCTATTATTAATTCTCTTTATTTACTTGAGTAAATCTGAATTTATTCAGTTTTTATTCAGTAATTTATTACTTTTTATTTAATATATTAAGGGTTTAGTTATGATACTCGCTGGATACTCCCAAAATAATTCCGCAGATTTTTACCAAAATTCTCCGCAGAAATAGCAAAAAACGTCCGCAGATTGCGTCTGGCCCTGCATATGGGCTGTTTTTAATATGCGTACTATTATGCAGAACTTAAACAACAGCTATTCTTTGTCTTGAGACCATTTTGAGAAACGTTTTTGATCCCTTTCAAATGTTCATTACTATATTTACTTTTATTTCGGTGTCAATATCATTGCGCCTACTGCAGCCAACCCATTCATTTTAATGCACCAGGAAAGGGCCCAGTTTGTCGCTGCATCAAACAGCAAAAGCGGAAGAGAAGCAGAGCTAACACACCACAGTCAAAATAGCTCAATATTACACTTATTCACATATCTATACGGTGACTCAGTGGTTAGCACTGTCGCCTTACAGCAAGAAGGTCGCCGGTTCGAGCCCCGGCTGGGCCAGTTGGCATTTCTGTGTGGAGTTTGCATGTTCTCCCTGTGTTGGGGCGACTTAGTTCATCAGGGGTCACCACAGCGCAATGAACCACCAACTATTCCAGGATATGTTTTTTTCACAGTGGATGCCCTTCCAGTAGCAACCCCGTACTGGGAAACACCCATACACTCTCATTCACTCACATTACAGCCAATTAAGCTAATTCAGTTCCCCTATAGCGCGTGTTTGGACTGTGGGGGAAACCGGAGCACCCGAAGGAAACCCTTCTTGTTTTGAGGAGACGGTGCTAACAACTGAGCTGCCCAAGTGCATCCAAAATGTTAATTGTGGTGCACTCCTAAAGTGAATGATTTCTCAAGTATTATTTATGTCATGTAAAGTTGTGTCGCATGCATAAATAGATAAACGACAACACACTTTTGGTATGGTTTATGGTTTTAATGCTTGCTATATGTTACCATCATGTAGGGAAATACTGAGTGAACAACAGTGTGTACAAACGACTTCACATTTGTGAACGAATAATGCTAATTAGCTTGACTAGTGCAACCGTTGAGTACCAAGCAAAGTCTCTGGTGTAGTTGCACTGTTTGTCATTAAATTATGTGCAGTCATTAAAGCAATTCAAACGACATCTATCTTTAGAACCAAATATATAAACATCACTGACCTTTCAAGATGAATTTCCTGCTAAAACACTATTATTATTATTAATAGTTTAAATCGACAGCTAGGGTTTACTCATATATATATCTATATACACAGTGTTTAAATTACAAGGTGTAATAAAGATGTACAAAAACACACCTTACTGTACGTTTAAGGGACAAACTTCATTTAAAAATGAAGTTCAGTAATACAAACGCGATTAAACTTCATCCATAATTACTGACAGTCCCAAAAGTGCATACACACACGCATAATTAAGCTGTTTGTGTACTTACTGTAAATATCACTTCAACATGAGTCTGACTAACAGGAACACATCAGTCTAAAACGAACCCAAACAGTGTAAAAACCTAAACGCTCGGCTAGAAACATCAATAGTGAAGTGAAAAACACATTTTAATGAGCCGGAGCCATGACAAGCAGTGAGATTAATACTCTTGCAACGTTTTTAAATAAACACAAAATGAAAAAAAGTCACCTTCATTTAAAACAAACTAAAACTTCAAGTAAACGTGTGAAAGCATGCAGGTCTAAGATCCACTGACGGCCACTGCGGATCAGGTTTAAAAGCTTTTAAAATCGTAAACAAGGGCGATCAACATAAAATGTTTCGTTTGTGACATCAAATGAAATAGTAGGCTATAATACGAGTCTGATGAGTGGACTGAATATCACCTTTTCCTTTTTTAAAATAAAATATTTATGGGTTCGGTCCTTCAAAAATGAAAAGTCTGCTATTAATTACACACTCGTGTCGGTTCCAATCCTAATTTACATTAAGATATTTTAAATGAAATCAGAGAGCTCTCTCGTCCTCCGTAGACAGCAAGGGTCCAGAGACACTTGATGTCTACTGTATAAAGCACGGGTGTCTAAACTCGGTCCTTGAGGGCCGGTGTCTTGGAGAGTTTAGCTCCAACCCTAATCAAACACACCTGAAACTGCTAATCAAGCTCTTAGTAGATATACTAGAATCTTCCTGGCTGGTGTTTTGAAGCAAGTTGGAGCTAAACCCAGCAGGACACCGGCCCTCCAGGACTGAGTTTGGACACCCCTGGTATAAAGGGAACCAAAAAAACATTCATTCATTTATTTTCTTTTCGACTTAGTCCCTTTATTGCTCAAGGGTCACCACAGCGGAATGAACTGCCAACTTATCCAGCAAATGTTTTACGCAACGGATGCCCTTCCAGCTGCAACCCAGTGCTGGGAAGGAACCAAAAAACATTGTCAGATAATTCCTTGAGCCTTCGGTAGTTCAACTGTAAAAACACTAAGCTCCAAAAGCAGTTTTTACATTTGTTTTGGTGCACAAAAGTGTTCTTGGAGCTTCGTATGATTACAGTTCAACCAGTCACGTGGAACTTTTGACAGTTTTTGGTTGCTTTTCTGTAAAGCTGTGGTGAAAAAAAATTGTTTTGATTTTCAAAATGCATCACTATTTGCTCTTGGATTGATTTTAAGCTTCGATTTTAACAGCAGATGGCGCTCTAGGCTAGTGTTTAACAGCAGATGGTGCTCTAGGCTAGTGTTTAACAGCAGATGCCGCTCTAGGCTAGTGTTTAACAGCAGATGGTGCTCTAGGCTAGTGATTAAAAGCAGATGGCGCTCTAGGCTAGTTTTTAACAGCAGATGGCACTCTAGGGTAGTGTTTAACAGCAGATGCCGCTCTAGGCTAGTGTTTAACAGCAGATGGTGCTCTAGGCTAGTGATTAAAAGCAGATGGCGCTCTGGGCTAGTTTTTAACAGCAGATGGCGCTCTAGGCTAGTGTTTAACGGGACGGTGCTCTAGGCTAGTGTTTAACAGCAGATGGTGCTCTAGACAAGTGTTTAACTGCAGACGGCGCTCTAGGCTAGTGTTTAAACAGCAGATGATGCTCTTAGCTAGTTTTTAACTGCAGACGGCGCTCTAGGCTAGTGTTTAAACAGCAGATGATGCTCTTAGCTAGTTTTTAACTGCAGATGGCGCTCTAGACTAGTGTATAACTGTAGACGGGGCTCTAGACTAGTGTATAACTGCAGACAGTTACCTAGGCTAGTGTTTAACAGCAGATGGTGCTCTAGACAAGTGTTAAACTGCAGACGGCGCTCTAGGCTAGTGTTTAAACAGCAGATGATGCACTTAGCTAGTTTTTAACTGCAGATGGCGCTCTAGACTAGTGTTTAACAGCAGATAGCCCCTAGGCTAATTTTTAACACCTAGATGGTGTTCTTAGCTAGTTTTTAACAGCAGATGGTGCTCTAAGCTAGTGTTTAACAGCAGACGGCACTCTAGGCTACAGTTTAACAGCAGATGGCGCTCTAGCCTACAGTTTAACAGCAGACGGTGCTCGAGGCTAGTTTTTACAGCAGATGGCACTTTAAGCTAGTGTTTATTAGCAGATGGCGCTCTAGACTAGTCTAGGATGCTGTTAAAAAACTAGCCTAGAGCGTCCTCTGCTATTAAAAAGAAGCCTAGAGCGCCATCTGCTGTTAAAAACTAGCCTAGAGCGCCATCTGCTGTTAAAAACTAGCTAAAAGTAACATCTGCTGTTAAATACTACCCTACAGCACCCTCTGTTGTTAAAAATTAGCCTAGAGCACCTTCTACTGTCAAATTCTAAACTCAAAATTGATTCAAAATATAATAGTGATGCATTTTGAAAATCTCAGAAACACTTTTCTGGATGTTGAACATCTCAGGAGGATGAGAGAGCTCTCAGATTTCATCTAAAATATCTTAACCCTGGGTTCTGAAGATGAATGAAAAACTGATTAAAACAACATAACATCAAGAAATGAATAACAGAATAAAACATTTCTGGGTGGACTGACCCTTTAAATAAACCTTCTTTTTGGATCTACTATAGTATAAAAGCCCTTTTGGTTGACTGAAACGTCTAGTAAGTGTCTGTGAAGTGAAGAGTTGTAGTTTGTAGAAGCTTCGTCAGAAGTCGGAGGTTTGCTGCGCTCGAGCTCTCATCATCTCACAGCGGCGCAGATGGTTGACCAGCGACTGCACGTACGTGAACACACACTTGGAGTCTGGTTTCTTACCCATGATCATCATGTCCTCCACCTCCAGTAGGGGCATGCAGTTGGCATAAGCTCTAATGAAAACACACAGACACACACCGATCAGTCACATCATCTGGAAGTGTTTTCGGTTTATGTTAGAGTTTTACAGCTCGAGTTTTTACAGAGTCAAGTAAAAAATGTCAAATATAGTTTATTTATAGCAATTACTGGCCCTCCTGTGAAATTTGTATTCCATTTTTAATTGTATAATTGTCCATCCATCCAAAATGTTTTCTCTTTTGATTTTGACTGAACAATAATAACCCTAAAACTAGGGGTGTAACGATTTATCGTTGTACGATTTATTGCGATGCAAAAATGTCACAATATGCATCGTGGCGTTATGACGATTTGATTACGATATGACGTCCGTTTTCTCTTATTAGTTGAGCTGTTTGCACGTGAGCTACGTTCCACCTGCTGTCGCACGTGAGTTCAGATTGCAGCAGCAGTAATGTTAGCAGACAAGATGAGTGGAGCTGAAATAGAGGATGGCCCATCCTCTCAAAATCAGACGTCTGGCAACATTTCGGTTGTACAGTCATTGCTTTAGACTCGTCCGCTTTTTGACACGCATACTGGGTCAAACATCCTAAGTTTTAAAGTCTTCACAGTGATTTACATACTTTGCACAGCGACAGGGATACCTCCTAATGGTGTTGAAAGAGTCACATACTGTATTTATAAGGTACAATTCACCCTAAAATATCATTCTGCCTTCATATAATGATGTATTGGCGGCCGCAAAATCACACATGACGTGAGCTGACCGTGAGCTGTTACTACAGAGGCCGGACTATGATAGACGCGCGCGTATGGCAAGCCGTTTTAGCATTTAAATCTTTGTTCTGAATATCCATAAATATATTTATAGATATCTCTAATTATATTTTGACTAGTCATAATTATAATTCGACTAGTCAGAATGACAATTAGAGATATCTGCAATTACAATTGTACTAGTACGAAATCAGATTGGAGATATCTGCAAATATATTATGACTAGTCTTATTCCTCCATTGACTTCTATTGAAAAATATGAGCAGATATCTCTAAATGAGTTTTGACTAGTCACAATTGTAATTAGAGATATCTCTAAATGAATTTAATTAAATATGAATTAAACACCTGAAAATGTGGATTTTTTTTGCACACATAAAAAACGCAAGTAACCAAGCAAAGCCTTAAGCTCTTACTGTTAAATTCAATTGAATAGAAAGCTAATTTTTTGCACCTTTACTTAAATTGTTCCTTAATTTGGTTTCTGTCATTTCAATAATATTTTTAAGAAGTTTTTAAATTGTTTTATTTTCCAGAGACAGGCCTGTTTAATTTATTTTCTTAAAGAAGGTTCAGTTTAACAAGTTGAAACAAAAGAAATACATAAAAAATAGTTTACTTGGTAAAATTTGCATTTCAGTTTAATTTTCAATTTTTATTCCAAATATTGTGATGCATATCGAACCGTGAACATTATATCGTGATACACATCGTATCCTGAGCTGAGTGTATCGTTACACCCTTACTAAAAACCCTGATGTGAAGTTTTATATGAGCACTTCCATTTAATCTCTTTAACTTTTGCTCACAAATGTCTGTCATTGTGCCCAACAGCATGTCAGAATCCATTAACAGATGAATTCTGTACGCTGAATAATTGCCCCTTCACATCAGATCTCTTGTAAAGGCAACAGAGAAGTGTGTTTTGCTGCGAGCGCAAACATTAGTGCTGTGCCAAGAACAGCGCAGTCCTGTGAGCTTCTGCTTTGTGTCGATGAGCCGAGCAGAAACTCGGGCTTTGATCGTCTTCATTTCACATCTCTACGAGCAGCACCATGTTTGGGCATCGGCCTTTAGTCCTCGGAGCTGCAGACGCACAATATTGTGCTATGCTAATCTGCAGAAACTAACAAACAGAAGTGATCGAGAGCAAAACGTGTCAGCTCAGACTCAAAAAGCAGACCTTCTGGGCTTAAAGAGCAGGTCACTGGGTATTTTAAAGTGTCCTGATATTACATTAGAGTCTCCTACAACACGTTTAAATGCATCTAATGTCTAAAAAACATCGCAATTTTGTCAGAATATGCAATTAGTAACTTTGCTAAGATTTTAATATGGTTGGTTTGATCAATTTGAGGCTTAATGTCCATAAACCCCGCCCCTCTATAAGCCGACTCTGCTCTGATTGGTCCGTTTTGATCAGTCTTTCTGTATTTAATCTGTGTCAGAAAATAAACACTATTTTATAGTGTTGTACCGTTTGTAAGACTGCTTTGGGTGAATAATTATTGTAAAAAAGGCTAAACAACAACAACAATAATAATAATAATAAATAAAAATAATAATAACAATAATAATAAAAATCAGTAAGACTTTAGTTTAAGTACCCATTCTTACTATTAACTAGTGTGTTTTACCTGCCTGTTATTAAGATATTGGTTGTTTATTAGCACTTATAAAGCACATATACAACCCAATCTTATTCTATATATGCCAAATCATAACTAATACCTAAACTAATACCATTATAACTGTTAAAAAGAAGCAAATTAGGAGTTTATTGAGCTAAAAATCTTAGTTAAAGGTCCCATGAAGTGCTTTGAAATGTGTGTTTTTATTTGATGTTTGACAATCTCAACTGAAGATAGTGTAGCTCCTCCTCTTTTAAAAAAGCAGCCAATAGCGTTTTGCTTTTCTCACAGCTCTGCCAGTGAGAGTGATCGATAAACCCCGCCCCACTATAAACCAACTCTGCTCTGATTGGTCCGTTTTGATCAGTCTTTCTGTATTTAATCTGTCAGAAAATAAACACCAATTTTATAGTGTTGTACCGTTTGTAAGACTGCTTTGGGTGAATAATTATTGTAAAAAAGGCTAAATAATAATAATAATAAAAATAACTAAAATTAATAATAATAATAACAATAATAATAAAAATCAGTAAGACTTTAGTTTAAGTACCCATTCTCACTATTAACTAGTGTGTTTTACCTGCATGTTATTAAGATATTGCTTGTTTATTAGCACTTATAAAGCACTTATACAGCCCAATCTTATTCTATATATGCCTAATCATAACCAAAACTCCATTAACAGCTTATTTTAGAAAATGTGGAACCCTGTGGTTTGTTTTGTCAAGACGTTACCTTCTTTGAAAGTCTTTTTTAAATTCTTTAATTAATTTTATTAATAACTCATAATTTATTTCTTATTGTTTTTTTGTGGGGTCAATTTGGGTTGGGATAAGGGTAATGTTTTGGTCATTTACATAGCTGCATTGCATTATTATTCTGTATTTTTAAAACCAGACGATTATACTATATAAAGTTGAAGTCACAATTATTCACCCTCCTGTTGAACAGATTCAGGAATTTTTCACAGGATTTGCTATAATATTTTTTCCTCTGGATAAAGTCTTTATTGTTTTATTTCGGCTAGAAGAAAAGGAGTTTTTAATTTTATTAAAAGCATTTTAAGGTCAATGTTAGTAGCCCCCTTTAAGCTATATTTGTTTTCAATAGTCTACAGAACAAACCACTGTTATACAAAGACTTGCCTATTTACTCTAACTTCAACCTAATTACCCTAGTTAAGCCTTTAAATGTCACTTTAAGCTGTGTAGAAGTGTCTTGAAGAATATCTAGTCAAATATTATGTGCTGTCATCATGACAAATATAAAATAAATCAGTTATTAGAGATGAGTTATTAAAACTATTATGATTAGAAATGTGAAAATATTCTCTCTGTTAAACAGACATTGGAGACAAAATAAACAGCAGGGCTAATAATTCTGACTTTACATGTCATGTACCAACTATTACTCAAGTATCTGCTTAATAATAATAATAATAATATAAAAAGAGAGGTGTAAATGTTAGTTTGTTCTGTTGATCATGGTTAAAGTTTTATCCAGCTCTGCACCGAGGATCTGCACGTCTCCTCACAGGCCGGATCTGACTCTCACCGTTTTTGGCCTGATTTATGCCTCTAGGAGGAGTTTTTGGTTTTGACCAGGCCCTTCTGCACCAGTCCCCTGTAGAACTCCTGGAGGTACGTGTACACGCACTTCCAGTCGGGCTCCCGCATCCGCACCATATCCTCCACATCCAGCAGCTGCGGACAGTCTGCCAGCCTCCTGCTCGCATGCGGACACAACGACGACAGTCACACACAGAACAGGCCGAGTGCAGTGAGGAGAGAGAGAGAGAGAGAGAATTCACACAGAAACAAACACAACAAGACAACATCAGAAAAACTGTGATGATGAGGACCACAGCATGTGATTTCATGCCTCACAATCACAACACACACACACATGTGCAAAGACAAACATCAATGCATTCATTTGGTGATCTCATTCTGCAAAATGTGCCTGTGAAGAAGAACATGGAGACAGTGGGAACGTTTACATGCACCTAAATAAACCTTTCATAATCAGATTCAAAAATGTTCATGTAAAGCAACTTAACCTTTGTGTACTGTTGAAATTGACTACCCTTTCATTATGTTGGGGGCTGTTTGTGCCCCATTGACCTCCATTATAATCACATTTTTTGATTGCAAAGCCATGACACCATATTATCATGTATTCCTCAGGGTGCATACACATTTTTCACTACTAAAATTCAAGGGATTTTCCAGGACCGTATGAACCCTGATTCCTGATTGTTGGTGGTTTTCCCTGAAGAAGAGGTACAATTTATAATTGCATATGTTGATCATCAGTTGTCAGCATTAACCCTTTAGATAGGCCTGTGCAAAAAAGTTTCTGGCTTTTATATGTAGTAAAACAGCAGAATATAGTGTGTGTGCATAAATACACTTGCTACGTTTACTACGGTATACACTACCTGACAAACGTTTTTTGGCCTATCCAAGTTTTAGGAGCAACAAATAATATCTTGACTTCTAGCTGATCACTTGGTATCAGAAGTGGCTTATACGAAAGGCAAAGGCCTCTAGATTACGCTTATTTTACCAAAATAAAATATGATCATGCCTTGATTTTTAATGATTCAATCAGGAAATCAAGATCTGACTTTGCTTAGACAAAAGTTATGTCACTTAACATAAATAGTGTACAAAATAATGATGATCAGTAGCCAAAATGATGCATTGTACCTTTTCCCAACAGGGAAAACCACCATCAATAAAGAATACCAAATAAGGTGTCACAGCTTTGCAATCAAAAAATATAATTATAATGGAGGGCAATGGGACAAAAACAGCCCCCAACATAATAAAAAGGGGAGTCAATTTAATGTTTTCCCAAAATATGTGTCAAAATAAGATTTTTAAAAATCATTCCATTCGCTGAAACACAGAAAGTTGTGGCCAAAATAAGACTCAAAATGAGCCCAGAGTGGATGAAAACATCTCCAACAGCACACAAGGAAGGTCACCAATCTTGGTCCTGGAAGGCCGGTGTCCCTGCAGAGTTTAGCTCCAACTTGCCTCATCACACCTGTTTCAGGTTTACCCAGTAAGAGCTTGATTAGCTTGTTCAGGTGTGTTTAATTAGTGTTGTAAACTCTGCAGGACATCAGCCCTTCAGGAACTAGTTTGATCACCCCTTGACTTAAATGATCCAGTTGAACCTGAATCGAATGAAATTTCGATCGGATTGGAAGGGATGGTTTATTCCCTCTGTAATCCGATCCAACAGCAAAGAAAATGACAGCAAAGAAAACTTAAATGCTTGAATTAGAGTACTTTCCTAATCATTTTCTGAAGTATCTGGTGCATATACGCAGTGCAATGTTGACATGCATTAGTCTGCACGTATTTTAATAAATGCATGATAAAGCATGTAAAAGTGCTGACATTGTACTTTATCAGTAAATAATGACATATAATGATATATGCTGTTGATTAAAGAAATGTGCTGTAACCTAAATACAAGTTTAAACAAGCCCTATAAATACAGCAGTATAAATTAAATAAATGAAATTAAATACAGTAGAAGTAAAATATTAGAAAGTAGAATTAAGAAACGAAACTAAAAGAAATAATAAACTGCATAATGCCAAAAAGAGGCAGGGGACACCATGGGGAAAAATAAATTAATTGAGCTGATGAAAGTTGGTGCATGTAAACAAAGGCAATGAGAGAAGCAGATTGTGACGGCTAAACATGTAAACCAGGGGTGTCCAAACTCGGTCCTGGAGGGCCGGTGTCCTGCACAGTTTAGCTCCAACTTCCCTTAACACACCTGTCGGGAAGTTTCTAGCACACCAAGAAAGAGCTTGATTAGCTGGTTCAGATGTGTTTGATTGGGGTTGGAACTAAAATATGCAGGACACCGGCCCTCCAGGAATGAGTTTGGACACCCATGATGTAAACCTTCATCTGCAGACAAACATGTTTGGTCTGGTAGTGAAACAGACTGTAGAGAGTCTGAAGCTCAGTGAGGGCTCATGCTGTGCATACTGCTCACATTAAAGGCACACGTCTGATACTGCTGGAGCTGAAGACTTTAGTCTGCACTGCAAAAAATGTGCTTCTTACTTAAGAGTTTTTGTCTTGCTCCTAGTCCAAATATCAATAAATGCATTTTCTAGACAACGCAAAACAGTATTATCTTGTTTTAAGAGATAATAAGTCAAAATTAAGTCAGTTTTTCATTAAAACATGCTTAATATTCTGCCAATGGGGTAAGACAAATAATCTTACGTCAAAAGGAAAAGCAAGATTATTGTAAATAATTAAAAAAATTAAAAAATTTGATGGCAAAAAAAATCCGCTTTGCACCGTGGCGCATGGTCTAAAACGGTTAAGCTTACTTTCATAATGAGTTAAAGGTGTTTTTTGAGAATAAACAATCAGAGTCTCATCTCACATTCCCTTTAAGAGTCAAGGCTGATTTATACTTATTCGTCAAACGCTGGCATATGCTATGGCGCTGACGCATAGCCCTTCGCCGTGGGCGTCGCTGACGTGCACCTCTCAAAAAATGTAACTACACGTCGCAACAACGCGTAGCGTAAGCTCTGTGATTGGTCGGCTTGGTAGCGCTGACGAGTCTGGGCGGGACCGAGAGCCGCGTGAATGTCGCGAGCCTGATGGAGCGATTGTTTACAAGTGTGGAGTCCCGTGAAGGAGCTCCGGATGGAAAGTTTTGTTTTGTGTTTACCTCATAGTTAAAGTTGTTGCACGTCCGCCGGTTCCTGCCTCAAAATGAGCGAGTTTGAGCCACTTGTACATCCCGGAAATGTTCAGGAAACGCAAAACAGAGGCGAAGAAACTCGACACACAGGAACATTTACACCTCACTGCCAACTAGCGTTTCGGAAGTGTTAATGCAGACCAACAGAGACAGCGCGCAGAAGTATAAATGCACAGCTACGCGCGTTGCATGCGCCGTGGGTTACGCTGGTCACCTTACGCAGAAGTATAAACCAGGCTTCAGTTGCATCGCGCCATAGCGCACTTGCTATTTACATGACGGACTTTGTAAGTGGAAAAACTGAATGCTTCACTATAGAGTAAACAGTTAAACAGAGCATCTACAGTGCGAGAATGAGAAATGAGCCTTCTCATTATTTACTTTCACTTTCTCTCTCGTGGATGGGGAAACTTGTTGTACGCACAGACATCCATAAGCCAACATAATTAATTTTGTTTGTTAAGCGCAAATATTTGTTTCAAAACTATTTCTAAATTCAGTTCTAATTTCCAGCAAACGAATAAATGAACAATAATAACGAAGTGTGCTCAAAATACCGAGTTATTTCCAAATACACATGCTGCCCCATATAGTCTAAAACCTGACAAGAGGACAAATCAAAGCTTGTTTTAATAAAACAAATATAAATATGCATATAATAAATAATGCTGCTAATTATAATAACATTTTACAAAAGCAAATTGTCATGAATGAACTGAAAAAGCCACCTGAGAAGAAGAAGGCATGGAGGCGGTGGTTTTTATATTTATGTAGGCTAGAAAATAATATGTTTTGTAATATTTTAATCCTTTAATCATTTTTCATTTGTAAAGATATTTGTGTATTGCTTTACATCCTGTGTGTATTAAGCTATGTGTAAGCGAGGTGCACAACTAACGCGCTCTGCACTGGACTATCGACCTGCTTTGATCTGGTCTATTGTGCAGCCTATTTTAGTTTCTCAAAATTGCAACGCGCCTTAACAAGCCTCCTTTTTTAGATCAGAACGCCTATGGGCGCACATATGAGCGCAAATGCATTTGCTATTTAAACAATTGCGTCGAGTCTTGCGCCGCATTGCACCAGGTGTATGATAGGTGTATGATTAGTCTTTAAAGTTACTAGAAAAACAAACAAAAACAAAAAAATAGCAAGACAAAAGAAAGCTGAAAAGTTGCGTATTGATAAAGAAAACACAGTCAATCCTTTCAAATCGCAGACAGGTGCTAGCCACCCTAGCAACAAGGCTAACTTTGCAACGGCCGCAAATACAGACATTATGGAAGCAACTGCTAATCTGAACAGCTCTTTTGACTGAGAATGTAATGTTCTCTCAACTTCGCTATGCGCGGTGAAGGTATCGCTTGCTAATATCACTGCCAGGATGGCTGAAACCGGGGAGGTGGCTAAAATTCACGAAATCCCATATTGAATTGCTGGAGAATCGATGAGAGAGAGTGTGGAAAACTTCGGTAAAAGACATGTGACTTAGGGTGCTTTCACACCTGCCTTATTTAGTTCGATTGAATCGAGTTCGTTTTCCCTTTGGGTGCGGTTGGTTTGGGCAGGTTAGAATGCCGCAATCGTACTCGAGTGCGCACCAAAAGCGGACCAAATAAGCGCACCGAGACCTGCTTGAAGAGGTGGTCTCGGTATGCCTTCAAACGAACCCTGGAGCGATTCGTTTGTGGTGAGAATATGATTCATACTAAAACAGACCCAACCGCAAAAAGTACTGCGCCTTTTGGACTAATCCAGCTGCCGTAGGCCGATGCGCTGTGCATTATGGGATATGGAGGAAAAATATTTGTTGACAGCGCTTTACCAACAGAGAGAGAGAGGGGAAAACATTACCTGATGGATCGTTGGTAATATTTCCGCCAGATGAGCATGTCGCAGTTTAGCTAAATTAATTCACGTCTCCTCCTGAAGTGACGAGCGATGCATTAAACACTGTTTTCCAGCCGCGCTTCATTCTCGAAATGTATAGTTTGTCTAAAGCAGGAATACAATCAGTCAGCGCAGTCGTCCCACCAGAGTTAAAACGACATATACCTGCGGGAGTTCATTGGCATTTTCCCGCACGTGATTTCTGACCAATCAATAAGCAGATTAGGAAATATATTCAACAACATCCGGCCAATGAGAGATGTGGATTTTGTCAGATGACTGCATTTTGGTTCATTTCAACTGGTTCGGACCAAAGCCAGCAGTGTGGTGTGAAAACGACGAAAAGACGGCAGAAAATGCAACAGCAGCCCCTTTCACACAGTGATACCGATAAATATATGGAAAATTTCCGGAACGACTTTACCGGTAGATTCAAAAAAGCGCTGTTCACACAGGCGAGGACGTTACGGAATTTTTACGGAAAAGAGCATTCACACATCCATTCCAAAATAGCGGTAAATTCTGACATCATTAACCAGAAATGAGCTCTAAACGGCTGCGCTTGTGTTTGTAAACATTTGACTACATCACAAACTCTGTGAATGATCAGTATTGTGAACAACTTCGATGAAAACGTATAGAGAAACACTTTCGCATGTCGAGATGTACATGATATGTGTGTGTGTGCTGGCGCTCATCATGGGCTGTTTCACGGGCGCACGCAAAGCTTGAAGGTAAACAAACATCGGCTTATCATAAGCATCTTATCGATAATTATTTACACGGTTGGCATTAAGATGAACATAGAAACGTGATCTGACTAACATCAAGCAGCTAAATGTGTCTGGTAAAATATTCAAAGGCTTTTATTCTCATAAACCGCACGGGCGCGAATGCGTCTGACTGTTCTGATTGGCTAAAGCAGGCGTCTCACGTCAGCACGTTCTAGACGTGCACGCGCTTATTACGGGAATCTTCCTTCTGCATTCACACAGCGCAGCATTCCGGCAAATTACCAGTAATCTTACAACTTCTCTTTCTGGAAAATAGCCGGAACGAATTTACCGGTATTTTCAAAAAAGGACTGTTTACACATACACACCTTTCCAGAAAATTCCCGGTAATTTTCCGAAAAGGTGAGTATGTGTGAAAGGGGCTAGTGTATTATTTATTGCTCTTGGTGCAAACCAAATGAAGCGATCTACAGATGTGAAAGCACCCTTAGAATCAAGATCTCGACGGCAAAACATCCGAATTTTGGGAATAGGTGTAAGCCTACAGAGTTCATGACCAAACCTCTAGAGCAGATACTGAGTGAAGGGAACCAGTGCAAATAAATAAAGCCCACAGATGAGAATGCAGTGGAGAAGAACTAACAAACGGCAGCACTGCGAGACAGAATTCACCTTTAGGCCTCTAATTAGAAGCAATTACAGACGGTGCCTTTAATGAACGGACAGCTGTGGTGCTGAGATAAACCAGTGCTCAGTCAGGTGGAGAAGGAATGATATGAGAAGGAGTCTACTGGAATCATCTGGACACAGACCAGCCGGGTCAAAGCTAATGACAGGGGAAGAGCGTTAAACCTGTGTCTCAGGTAAACACACACTACTGACGCTCTCCTCCATCAGCAGACACCATATCTGAAGGAATCTGCTAGACGCTTCGCATTTACAAAGGAGCTCAAATGCATGAATGTTACTGGGAGACAGAAAAGGAGCATGTAAATGATGGTTTAAAAGGCTGGTAATGAAGGTTGTTCTATTTCCAGTTACACTTTACAATAAGGTTGTATTAGTTCATGTTAGTTAGTTCAACATGGAGTTCACCCACAGAGTCAGATTGTAGGCATTTGAACGCTACTCCTGTGTGATGTTAGCATGTGGACTCACTCTGCTGTGCTGAAGGCCGTCTCGAAGTTCTGCCTGCGGTTGGTGGGACTGAGGCTGGAGTAATCGAAGGCCTCTGGGAAGAAGTTATGCACCAGAGCACAGAAAGCCATACCGTCACTCCAGCTGGACGAGAAGTTCTGGATGTCCACGTTCTGCATCACATGACATACATCAACAATGAGTGTTAGGCATGGGCTGGTGTTAGATTCTGATGGTATGATGATAACCTTGGATAAAAACATCACAGTATGACAAAATTCTGGTCTATCATGTCTAAATCCCTGTCAAGACTAAGTCTAGGTTTTGTGTCTTATTCAGGTGTACCTGCTGAAAAATCCAGCTTAAACCAGCCTAGGCTGGTTGGCTGTTTTTAGCTGGTTGACCAGCCTGGTTTTAGAGGGGTTTTGGCCATTTCCAGCCTGGTCTTAGCTGGTCGGGCTGGAAAATGACCAGCCAAATCCAGCTAAAACCAGCTTGACCAGTCTGACATAGCTGGTTTTGGCTGGACTCCCAGCTTGGCTAGGCTGGTCAAGCTGGTTTTAGCTGGTCATCTCCCAGCCTGACCAGCTAAGACCTGGCTGGAAATGGCTGCAAACCAGCCTGGAAGTGGCCAAAACCCCTCTAAAACCAGGCTGGTCGACCAGCTAAAACCAGCCAACCAGCCTAGGCTGGTTTAAGCTGGATTTTTCAGCAGGGTTGTTTTTTTCCCTCTGTTTTACCTCGTATGATCGGGTCTTGGATCTGCACCAGTCCAGCAGCATCTGTTTGATGGAGTTTGCGTTGGGGACACCGAAGCTGGTAGAGCGCTGAACCCTGTTCACCTGAGCAATAGCCAAGTTACTGCAGACAGAAGGATGAACATTAGATGGAGCTTCTGTCGGATACCTAACATTAGCTTGTTTCCATTAGGGCTGCACGATATTGGCAAAAATTAGACATTGCGATATTTTATTTTACTACGATATACAGCTGAAGTCAGAAACATTCGCCCTCCTGTATATTTTTTCCCCAATTTCTGTTTAACGGAGAGATTTTGATTCAACACATTTCTAAACATAATAGTTTTAATAACTCATCTCTAATAACTGATTTATTTTCTCTTTGTCATGATGACAGTAAATAATATGTGACTAGATATTCTTCAAGATACTAGTATTCAGCTTAAAGTGACATTTAAAGGCTTAACTTGGTTAATTAGGCAAGTCATTAGCCCCTTTCACACATACAGACCTTTCCGAAAGCTTGTATGTGTGAACAGGTCCTTTTTGAAAATACCGGTAAATTCATTCTGGCTATTTTCCGGAAAGAGAAGTTGTAACATTACCGGCAATTTGCCGGAATGCGCTGTGTGAATGCAGAAGGAAGATTCCCGTAATAAGCGCGTGCACGTCTAGAACGTGCTGACGTGAGACGTCTGCTTTAGCCAATCACAACAGTCAGACGCATTTACGTCCGCGCGGTTTGTGAGAATAAAAACCTTTGAATATTTTTCCAGACACATTTAGCTGCTAGAAGTTAGTCAGATCACGTTTACATGTTCTTCTTAATGCCAACTGTGTAAATAATCATCGATAAGATGCTTATGATAAGCCGTTGTTTGTTTACCTTTAAGCTTTGCGTGTGCCTGTGAAACAGCCTGTGAGCGCCTGCACACGCACATATTATGAACATCTCGACATGCGAAAGTGATCCTGCGAAAGTTGTTCACAATATTGATCATCCACAGAGTTTGTAATTTAGTCAAATGTTTACAAACACAAGCGCAGCCGTTTAAAGCTCATTTGTGGTGAATGATGTCAGAATTTACCGGTATTTTGGAATGGATGTGTGAATGCTCTTTTCCGGAAAATTTCCGTAACGTCCTCGCCTGTGTGAACAGCGCTTTTTTCAATATACCGGTAAAGTCGTTCCGGAAATTTTCCGGATATTTACCGGTATCACTGTGTGAAAGGGGCTATTGTATAACAGTACTGGTGCTGTTCCATGGATCAATTGGTACCGGGCCGCACAAGAAATCATGAATCATTTCCGTTTTATTTATTATCTGAGTCTGAACGATTATTTTTGAAAAATTAGCGTATTCTCTCCCTTACATCTCGCTCACTTGAGCAGGGGCGCCGGTAGGGGGGGGAGTTGAGATAATTCAAAGGGCCCACGCTGTTTTCGGGCCTCCAGAGATATTATTAGGGGCCCATGATAACTCCCCACCACCACCCCCCACCCCCCATCCATCCATCCCATACCCCCACACTCCCCCCCCCCCCCCCCCCCTCAATTTTGTCTGTGATACCCACCCGTCCCACCCCGCTCTTCTCTTTCGTCCACAACATTTACACCCACCCATCCTCCTCACTCCTTCCCTCGTCTTCACTTTCAACTGTGAAAGGTTGTCAGAGGGCCCGTGGTGGCCGGCGGCGCCCCTGCACTTGAGCGCCTAAATTTAACCCACAAACAGCAAAAATGAGTAAGAAACAGGCATCTTTGGAAAGCTTCTTTGCATAGAGGAAAAGGCCCAGTGAAGGACCCACAAACTGCCAAGTAATAGATCCGCAACCCATTAGTCAACAAATCAGGTGAATCCAGCATGTCTGTGCAAGATGATTAACTGATGGAGATCGCACATGACGGCGGCCTTTTAGAGGCTGTTCGCATATTGTGTCTCTTCTAGAGTTTGTGCAAGTTCATTGATTCCAATGGAGGTGTGCGGCGCGGTGTGCCTTTCAGAAGCACCCATTTGAATGAATGACACGACCGACGGTATTGTCACGGCAATTTTACCGTAAGTCAAATCACCCTCGGTCCGCGGTAAACTGTCAAGTGTTGACCGGTCCACGATGATAAAAAGGTTGGGGAGCACTGCAGTAGACACTGCTGTAACCTAGCTAGTGGCTTCTCCTACTGCAGAAAACTCTATTTCTCTTTATATTTGGAGGCATTTTATTAGGAAGTGACCATTTCATTCTCTTTGACTCATTGGATGGAAAGGTTTGCACATGAATATAAAGCTTTAGCTGTAAACAGAGCTATCGTCTGAAGCGCAGGAGTTCTCACCCGCTGGTGTTCTCCAGCTTCTCGATCATGGCTTTCCGGGCCTGAGCCGCAGATGTCTTTGGTAACGTCTGAGCCCTCATGAGCTCCGATCTCTCGGCCTGTCTGCGATCCAGAGCTGAAGATCTGCTGGAGCTGCGAGACGTGTTGTCCTCACGGTCAAAAACACTACAACAAACAGAAGAAAACATGCTGTATATAAGAAAGACTTTACAACAGAATAGATCATCACCCCAAAAGGACAACATAACAACAGTTTATAGTCGGTGTGCCCACAGATATTTTGGGTATAAAAAATATCTTGTTTTCAAAAGTGTACAGAGTTCATAAAAACAATAAAGTCATGTGAAAAAGTTTGAACAGTCTGTTGAATGTCATGGTTTTCCCTATCAGAATTAGAGCTGCACAATAAAAAAAATTAAGCTTGACAAAGGTGGCGCAAAAAGAGGTATGCAGTGTATGCGGCGCATATTATATATAAAATATATTATAAAATATTTATTTATTATATTTTAATTATAAAATATATATTATAATAATTATATTATATATATATATATATATATATATTATATTATAATAATATATTATAAAATTTATTTATTATATTTTAATTATAAAATATATATTATAATAATTATATTATATATATTATATTATAATAATATATTATAAAATATTTATTTATTATATTTTAATTATAAAATATATATTATAATAATTATATTATATATATTATAATAATATATTATAAAATTTATTTATTATATTTTAATTATAAAATATATATTATAATAATTATATTATATATATATTATATTATAATAATATATTATAAAATATTTATTTATTATATTTTAATTATAAAATATATATTATAATAATTATATTATATATATTATAATAATATATTATAAAATTTATTTATTATATTTTAATTATAAAATATATATTATAATAATTATATTATATATATTATATTATAATAATATATTATAAAATATTTATTTATTATATTTTAATTATAAAAATTATATATTATAAAATATTTATTTATTATATGAAACTTTTAATAAGGATAATTTCAAAAGTAGTTTTGGCACAATGGCGCCCCCCCTATGTGTGGCGCCATTGTGCCAAAACTACTTTTGAAATTATCCTTATTAAAAGTTTCAAATAATAAATAAATATTTTTTGATAAAAACGTTTATTTTGCATTTTATATTAGTATAACATTGTATTTTATTAAATAAAAAATTATACCACCCCTCCCCCTCCGTTGACCATTTGGGCGCAAATCTTGAAAGTGCAGTTGCGCCCCTGCTTGACAATTCAATATTTCATTTTGCAACTATGTGTAGAACTTCACCAGAAGACTGGAATAGCTCTATTTTTCATTAATTAGGACGAGTTCTGTGGGAGATGTTTAGAGATTTGAGACTTAATAGGTTTAGTAATTTATAGGTTTAGTAATTTAATAGCTTTTTCACATGACTGTATACAGCTGAAGTCAGAATGTTTATTTTCCCCCTCGATTTCTGCTTAACAAAGAGAAGATTTTTTTTACAGCACATTCCTAATCATGATAGTTTTAATAACTCATCTCTAATAACTGATTTATTTTATCTTTGTCATGATGACAGTAAATAATATTAGACTAGATATTTTTCAAGACACTACTATACAGCTTAAAGTGACATTTAAAGGCTTAACTAGGTTAATTAGGTTAACTAATCAGGTTAGGGTAATTAGGCAAGTTATTGTATAACGATGGTTTGCTCTGTAGATTATCGAGAAATTAGAAAAATTAAGAAAAATTAGCTTAAAGGGGCTAATAATATTGTCCTTAAAAGAGCTTTTAAAAAATGTAAAGGGCACCTATGGTGAAAAATCTACTGTTCAAACTGTTTGGACAGACATGTGTGTTAGTATAGTGTATAGACCGTCATATTGGGGTGATATAAACACACACAGTCCTTTTTTTTTTTACTTTAACAACATAAAAACGGTGGACCAATTGGAGCGGTTTTCAGACCGACCGCAACTTTACGTCGGAGTGCGGTCCCCCCCGCCCACTAATATTGATTGACAGCCTTGCGTCATGATCATATCCTCAGTTTGTTGTTGCACGTCCGCCGTTTTCAGCGTGTGAGTCAAAGCGATATCAGTAAAGGAACACTCGTGCTCTATTTTTTTGATGAAAAGCTCATTGGGCTCAACACAAGATCAATATTCTCCACATTATCGCTGAAATCGGAATTATTGCTTGTACCTTTTGCGTGTCGCCGTGCATTTCGGAGTTCTAGGCGTGGGTTTCTGTCGGGCTGCACGCAGCGAGCTTCGGGTCAGCGGCTCGGCGCTGTGTGGGTTTCTGTCGGCGTGCACGCGACCGAGCTTAAGTTAATTCAGTGTGTGTGGTTATTAGTCTCGGTGTACAAGCTCGGATTTTTTACTCTCTGCTTGGTCTGTGATCGAGTCGTACATGTACGGCTGAATACTCATTCTAGCTTAGCTTAGCTTCTCTCTCTCTGTCTGTCAGCCTGTCTGTTGTAAACACAGAGCGTAGGAGCTCTTGGCTCCGCCCCCTTGTTACGTTGGGCGGGAAGCTGAAACTGTGAAGCAACACGCCCCTGAACAGCAAACTGTGTACACGCCCCCAACATGACACTTTTAACACATTACAATAAAAACACCTGAACTGTGTGTTGAACTGAACCTAAACTGGCACACTCAGAACAACCAGAATATTAACATTAAATCATAAAAAAGGGGTAAACTATGTGCCCTTTAAATCTTTATTCTAGCGACAATAAAACAAATAAGACTTTCCCCAGAAGAAAAAATATTAACAGACCTATAGGGAAAATTTCCTGAATCCGTTAAACATGATTTGGGAAATATTTTAAAAAGAAAGAAATTTAAAGGGGGGCGAATAATTCTGACTTCAACTGTATGTTAAAATATAAATTTTGATTTGATGTTGACTGTTAAGCACTCACCTTCCGACCTTTCTAGTGGACGTGGTGCTGGAGTAACTGTAGGACTTTGTTTGCGTTGTGCCTTCTAATAAAACAGTAAGAGGAAAGAGGCTTGATGTGAGCGCTGACAGAAACAAACACTGAGAACATGGCGTATGGAGCTCAGTCAACTCACTGTCTGTCTTCTGAATGTAGCTGGACTCCATGATGGTGCTGCGGGACGTCCTTCCAGCGTCATCTACACACAGAAGCACACAGAAGATGTCTGAAATACACACTCAGTACCTTTTTGTACTTAAATTAAATTTGTTGTTGAATCTAAATAGTTTTTACAATTTTTAAAAGGCAATTGGGTGTTTTTTTTGCTTCAGAAGAACTTTAAAGGGCCATGAAACCCCCTCGTTTCAGCAGGGTGTTTTCACACCTCTACTTTGGAAAAAGTCATAAAAGTGGGCGTGTCCAGCTCTGTTTAGGGGGGAGTGTCGGAGGAAGAAAAGCGGCTTGGTATGGGAGTGTCTATTTGGGCGCGCTGAATTTCAGAGTCAAAACACAAAACCACAGTGGACAATGTGACTGTGTTTACATGGACATCTGTAGTCGAATTATTTGCCAGATTATTAAATGTTGGACTTTAACTGCAGTTTGGCTCTTTCATTCAGGGAATTCATTCATGTCCCTCCCAACAAACGAGATATTTGATTCGAGGAGCTGCTCTAAGCGTGTGTTTTTCATGCAATGTTTGATACCGCACGGCGAATGAGAGTAAAAAAAACTCAGCATTTCCCGGAAACTTAGATGCACACGGCAGGTAGCGTCAGAAAGCCGCGTGTGTTATTCCGGTCACAAATCCAACCCGAGGTTATAGTTTGGTTGTAACTGTTAGTGCTAATTTGTTTACACTGGTGCAATAGTTTGTTTGATACGAATAAAATACGAACTGAATAAACAAAGAGCACTGGTCGCTCACTTACCAAATCTGTAGAGACAGGACAATCACCAGCAACTAGAGCCGCGTCTTTATTAAGAGGAGACTACAAGCGAATCCGGATCTCAGCATTTGCAGATGAGAACAGCTCTCAGGTAAACAATAATCCTCCTTGGACACATAAGTTATTGTTGTCGAGCGTCGCGTACACTGTTAATCCACACGTGAGTCTGAGCTCTCACAGAGAGAAAATGAAAACGAAACTTAACTGCAGCAAACTATAAAAGCAACACTTCACGCTTGTTATGCCAACACAACGTGGCGTCTTTGCCATCTACACTGTGACAGTAATGAATATTAATGAAGTTGCACAATAGAGCGCGCTGATTGGTTTGAACCAAGCCTTACTCATGCATTAATGCATCACACTGTAAGACGTAATAAGACTCACTCTGGCACAGGCGTCCAGTCTGCACGCTGGAATACACGCTATTATCTCATGACCGTGACGCAGCTTCAAAAATTCGTTTCAAACCGGAAGTACGAATTTGCTTGAAATAACGCAAAAACAACCAATTTACACTTTTTAGTGAAATATAGGTGTCCTAATAGTGTTTATAGCAGTGTGGGACACAAATACGACTGTCAACAGCTCAACACATGTGTTTTGGTGTTTCGTGACCCTTTAAAGGGTAACACTTATAAATACTGGTCAATTAGTTAACATATTTATTAATATTAGCTAGGTATGAATACACTTGTAGAGCATTTATTAATGATAGTTCAACATTAACTAATGCATTATTAACCAGTTAAACTCTGCGGACCCGGTACACGCCTGCTTTTTTAGATCCGAATGCCTATGGGTGCACATATGAGCGCAAAGTCTTGATAACACCACCAGGGAGTTTTTCTTTGATTATTTCAGCTAATTGGATTGTAAAAAATAATATTTGTTGTATTCTCCCATTAACAAGTTTACCCAAATATGTCGACTTCTGCTACTGAGAAATCTGGTATAATATGGTCCACGACCTTTATGCATGAACCACAGCTGAGTAAACACTGTGATACCTGTGTGGGAAATGCGGTTGGTGATGTGACTGACAGTGGAGCTGTCAGCCGAGCGCTCCGTCTTCTTTATCAGCACATTACTGCCGTCTGCTTTCTTACATCTGTCCTCGCGCTGCTGCCTGAGCTCTAGCAGACGCTGATCGCGCTCCTTCTCCCGCTGGTCTGAGGACACAAACAACAAAAAAAAGGAGAAAATAAAGACCATAGCAGTATCTCTAAAGTGATAAATAGCTGGTAGGGCTGCAGAATATATCTGCAATAGTCGCATTGCAAGATATGCAATGTTGAATGGGATTATAGTTGACCAGGAACCACAGCTCAAAACACACAAGATTTGTGGAGTCGCTGCAGCATTGAACCACAACAGAGTGAAAGTTTGTCATTTGTATGTGTTTTTAAGACCTGTAACTGTGTGAGCATTTAAAAATAGCAAGAAATAGGTCTTTATTATTTGATAATATTTTATATATATATATATATATACACACACACACACACACACACACACACAAATATACACACACACACACACACATATATATATATATATATATATATATATATATATATATATATATATATATGTACACATACATATATAAACACACACACACACATATATATGTATACACACACACATACACACACACATATATATATATATATATATATATATGGGGCGAGGCAGTGGCGCAGTAGGTAGTGCTGTTGCCTCACAGCAAGAAGGTCGCTGGTTCGAACCTCGGCTCATTTGGTGTTTCTGTGTGGATGTTCTCCCTGCCTTCGCGTGGGACATGCGGTACAGGTGAATTGGGTTGGCTAAATTGTCCGTAGTGTGTGAATGTGTGTGTGAATGTTTCCCAGAGATGGGTTGCGGCTGGAAGGGCATCCGCTTCGTAAAAACCTGCTGGATAAGTTGGCAGTTCATTCCGCAGTGGCGACCCCGGATTAATAAAGGGACTGAGCCGACAAGAAAATGAATGAATGAACGAATATATAATATTATTAAATAATAAAGATCATTTTTATTAGATTATTTAAATGATGAAGACCCATTCAGTGTTATTTTACATTAATTATTTACCTGAATGCTGATAGACTTCCTTGAAAACCATAAAGCACCGTTTATTTCACTTCAATCTTTGCTCTATTGTGTTTGTTTATGACTGTCGTTTGTTTATTTTTTGTATATAATAAATTATATCAAAATATTTTTATATAAAACAATATATAGACCTTTACATGATCCACTCCCTTACAAAATAATCTCGATCAATCTAAATGAATCACTTTCAAAATAGAGTTAAGTCATCGGGTGAAACTGTATTCATATTGCAATATATATTGCAGAGAAAATATTAATCACAATGTCAGATTTTTTTAATATCATGCAGCCCTAGTCCATGGGATCTGATTAGGAAATGTCCAGTTGAGCTTTATTGCCATTTCACCACATTCGTAGAGATACACTGGAACGAAATGTTGTGTCTTGCAGAATCAAGATGCTAGATAAATAAATATAATCATACATAAGAACATAATTCTGGAAGAGCTGTTTTAAACCTATAAACAACTAACATAATCTAACTATGCATATACTATAAATACTTTAACTACTGTATACACATAACCTAAGACAGACTATACAAATACTTTTACATAAGACAGAACAATATTGTGCTTAAGAGGTACGAAAACTACAAAATCTGATTGTAAAACAAAACCTTAGTCGACATCACAGATGATCACAGCACCGTGTGTTTACATTTCAACACGCAAACACAAAGCAAAAAGCACCACATCACTACAAAATGCATTAAATATCATGCATTACAATACATTAATATGAGGAAAAGACCACACGCGGCTCTTCAGTAACTAAAAACTACAACATATCTGCAAATACAAACCAAAACCAAAGCCTAGATCAAAAGAAAAGAAAAGGGTCAGTGGGGCAAAAATCACACACACACACACACACACACACACACTCCAGAAACCCTACCCATCTCCTCCTGTGTGCATCCCAGTTTAGCCTCTGAGAGAAAAGAGACACAGACAGGACTGAACAAAAGGCAAAATGGCAGATTGTCCTGCTTTCAATGCTGACACTCATCAGTTAAAGCAGAGAAGAAGAAAAAGAAGAGATACTCTGCGAGATAAAAAAACGAAGGTCAAAATAATCACCTCGCTTCTTCTTCCTCAGTTCTCTCATCGCAGTCCTGATCATTTTCCTTTCTTCAAAATCTTTGCACTCATCAAGCTGCAGAAACACACAAAACAGCCAAATGACTACTAATAACGGGATTATTGGGGTCACAATAATGTTGTATTAGTTAATTTATTTACTGGCACGAATAAACAACAAACAATGCAATGCATGTATTACAGGATTTATCCACCTTTGTTAATGTTAGTAAATGGAAATAAAGCTGTTCATTGTTGCAATAACTGATGTTATTACACGAATGTCTGGAATTCTTGATTTTGATTGGACACTCGCAACATTACAAGGAATGTTATTCCCAGATAACAACCGCTAAATAACACAAGCTCACCTGGGAACTTTGATTCACCTTGACTGTCAATGAATACTTCAACATTTACATACGTACATCCACATTCATACGTATCTGCTGGTCTGTTACGGCACAGTTTTTGACTGTTTTGACTATTTGGTGCCCTCTTGTGCATGAATAATACATAAGTTATGCTTTGGCTTTGTTTCTGTCAGCTTTGCCTTGTGAAATTACAAGTTTTTATTTTTTTTTTTATTTAAAAATAAAAAAAATTTTTTTTTTAAATATTTTAAAATTTATAAAAGTTTTTTACATTTATAAATTGTGTTTTTAAGATTGTAAGGTGAATTCAGAGGGATCGGGTTTGACTGCCTATGTGTGAGAGACAGTATCATGTCTTCAAAGTAAAGCAAATTGCATGTCGGCATGTTGTCTTTCCGCAAACGAATGGCTGGATGATACTTACAGAAATAAGATTTTTCAACTTAACATGTCATGCCAGTTTTTTGTTTCGCCCCCTAAATTGTGTATTTAACCTAATGCCAGGCTGCACTATTATAGATTTTTTTTTTTCCGATAAACAACGGCGAGATCTTATTAAAGAATTCTGCTAAGAAGATACCCGAAAGTTTCCGGCTATATCTCCTCTTTAATTCATTACAGTTTTTGGTGCCGTGACCCGGATACAGACTGAAATCACAAATTTCCAACAGCGTCTTGGACAGTTTGGCGCCATCTTGTGAGTGAATAATGCACAGGTTAGTGTATGCTCCATCAGCTGTTTTAGTTTTTGTCAGCTTTGCGTTTAACTAAACAACTGATTACTATTACAGGCCAGAACAATGTTTTGTGTCTATTTTTTATGTTTTCTATGTAACAGGCGGGATAAAGTACATCCAGGTGGTTATTTTTGCAGAATAATCCCTTATACAACGATAAGCCTGTCAGGCTCTATTCGGTGATAACAACCTCCTGGATGTACTTTAGTCATAACTTAATAAGCACAACTTTAACATTTAGTAATGCATGATTAAATTCGAAACTACAATTAATAAACGCTTTACAGTTCATTCTTAGCTCTTAGTAAATGTTAGTAAATACATTAACTAAAGAAACATTACTGTACAGTGTGGAAAATTTTGTTTGTCAGGTTTGATCATTCTTATTGGTTGATAACCGCACCATTTTGTCCAGGATCTCCTCATCCTCGATGTCTCGCAGCTTCTCGGAAGTCAGTTTCTCGCTTTGCGCCTCAGTTTTGATGGAGGTCATGGACGATCCGTTAGGAAGAACAGGGACATCATGAGACGTCTCGATAACTGATTCACCCACAAGAGAAACAGGCTCAGTCTCCATCTGTGTGTGAAGAGAGATAAAGGTAGACTGTAAAAAAACCCCGCACAGATTAACATCACGTTTAAGTTACTGCAAAAATTTAATTTATATTACAGAAATGTATGTGCAAATTTGTAAAGGAATTTAAAGTTTATGCATACATTATGACGTAAAGTTTATGCATACAGTGCTTCCAGAAAGTGTTCATAGCGCTTTACTTTTTCCACATTTGTTTGTTACAGCCTTATTCCAAAATGGGTTAAATTCATTTATTTCCTCAACATTCTACACACAATCCCCCATAATGACAATGTGAAAAAAGAGTTTTTGAAATTGTGGCAAATTTATTACAAATAAAAAGCTGAATAATCACATGTACATCAGTATTCACAGCCTTTTCTGAGGCTCTAAATTGAGCTCAGGCCCATTCTGTTTCCACTGATCATTCTTGACATGTTTAAGCAGCTGAATTGGAGTTCACCTGTGGTCAATTTAGCTGATTGGACATGATTTGGAAAGGCATACACCTGTCTATATAAGGTCCCAGGGTTGACAGTGCATGTCAAAGCACAAACCAAGCATGAAGACAAAGGGACTGTCTGTAGACCTCAGAGACAGGATTGTTTCCAGGCACGAGGCTGGGGAAGGTTACAGAAACATTTCTGCTGCTCTGAAAGTTCCAATGAGCACAGCGGCCTCCATCATACTCTTCCTAGATCTGGCCGGCCATCTACGCTGAGTGATCGGGGGAGAAGGGCCTTAGTCAGGGAGGTGATCAATAACCCGATGGTCACTCTGTCTGAGCTCCAGCGTTCTTCTGTGGAGAGAGGAGAACCTTACAGAAGGACAACCATCTGTGCAGCAATCCACCAATCAGGCATCTGTATGGTAGAGTGGCCAGACGGAAGCTGCTCCCCGCCTGGAGTTTGCCAAAAAGCATGTGAAGGACTCTCGGACCATAAGAAACTAAACTCTCTGCTCTGATGAGATTAAAATCGAACTCTTTGGAGTGAATGCCAGGTGTTACGGTTGGAGAAAAGCAGGCAGCGCTCATCACCAGGCTAACAACCTCCCTACAGTGAAGCATGGTGGTGGCAGCATCATGATCAGGAACTGGAAGACTCGTCAGGATAGAGGGAAAGATGAATGCAGTAATGTACAGAGACATCCTGAATGAAAACCTGCTTCAGAGCGCTCTTGACCTCAGACTGGAGCGACGGTTCTTCTCTCAGCAGGACAATGACCCAAAACACACCGCCAAAATATCAATGGAGTGGCTTCACAACAACTCTGTGAATGTCCTTGAGTGGCCCAGCCACAGCCCAGACCTAAATCCTATTAAACATCATTGGAGAGATCTGAAAATAGCTGTACACCGTCACTTCCCATCCAACCTGATAGAGCTTGAGAGCTACTGCAAAGAGGAATGGGCAAAAATTCCCAAAGACAGGTGAGCCAAGCTTGTGGCATCATATTCAAAGAGACTTGAGGCTGAAATTGCTGCAAAGGTGCATCAACAAAGTATCGAGCAAAGCCTGTGAACACAGATTTACATGAGGTTTTTCAGCTTTTTTATTTTGAATAAATTTGCAACAATTTCAAAAACTCTTTTTTTCACATTGTCATTATGGGGGATTGTGTGTAGAATGTTGAGGAAATAAATGAATTTAACCCCTTTTGGAATTAGGCTTTAACATAACAAATGTGTAAAAAGTGAAGCGCTATCAGTACTGTCCGGATGCACTGTATATGATGATGTAAAGATGATGCATGCACGATGATCTACAGATTATTCATAAACAATAGCTCATCTAACTAACTATGACTCTAACCTCAAACTCGTAACTTGCTGTTTATTAATAGTCATTAATGCAATAGTTGGGTTTAGGTATTGGGAAGTATTAGAGATGTAGAATAAGCTCATGCAGAATATGTGCTTTATAAATACTAATAAACAACCAAAATCTTAATAATAGGCAGGTAAAAGCCTTAAAAGTAATTTAAGCTAAAAAAATAACGACTTAAAAGTGAGAATTGGTATTTAAACTAAAGTGATACCAAAGCTTGCGCTCTTTATTACTACAGTTGGCTGCATTCGGTTTATACTAGGGGTGTAACGATTTATCGTTGTACGATTTATTGCGATGCAAAAATGTCTCAATATGCATCGTGGCGTTATGATGATTTGATTACGATATGACGATGATGTTTTCTCTTATTAGTTGAGCTGTTTGCACGTGAGCTACGTTCCACCTGCTGTCGCACGTGAGTTCAGATTGCAGCAGCAGTAATGTTAGCAGACCAAGATGAGTGGAGCTGAAATAGAGGATGGCCCATCCTCTCAAAATCAGACGTCTGGCAACATTTCGGTTGTACAGTCATTGCTTTAGACTCGTCCGCTTTTTGACACGCATACTGGGTTAAACATCCTAAGTTTTAAAGTCTTCACAGTGATTTACATACTTTGCACAGCGACATGGATACCTCCTAATGGTGTTGAAAGAGTCACATACTGTATTTATAAGGTACAATTCACCCTAAAATATCATTCTGTCTTCATATAATGATGTATTGGCGGCCGCAAAATCACACATGACGTGAGCTGACTGTGAGCTGTTACTACAGAGGCCGGACTACTTAATGATAGACGCGCGCACGTCTGCTTCAGTGAACAGAACCTGCAGGTTGTGACTAACAGGTAATAAAGTAGTAAACAACATTCAGTTTGTGGAACAGAGTGATCGTTCAGGAGCCGCGTGGGAAGTATGGACAGCAGTGGAAATGAAACCGAAAGCGTGCACATTATTTAAATAATCATATCGCATTTTAGAGTTATGATTACGACGAGCATGAACTCTTTTAAGTACAAAGGTACACAAAAATGCACGTCAACATGATACACTTGATAGCGCCGACAACAGCAATGCCGAAGAAATAGTAAACCTGCCTAAACTGCTGAAAAGAGCCACGACTGTCCTGTGTAATGAAAAGACGGCCACCCTGTCACTCATCATGCCCAACATGAAGACAGCCATCCATAAAAACCTCTCAGACAGATACACATCAGTTCAGGATTATTTTATAGAACTGCTGATTACCTGGAAATGTAGATTGCACACACAAAAAACGCAAGTGACCAAGCAAAGCCTTAAGATTAGATTAGATTAGATTAGATTAGCTTAGATTAGATTCAACTTTATTGTCATTACACATGTACAAGTACAAGGCAACGAAATGCAGTTTAGGTCTAACCAGCAGTGCAATAGCAGCAAGTGCAGGATACAGGAATAAGTTATAAAGTGCAGTTAAAGAAAAACTATGGTGATATTTACAGATGGATGTACTATCAACATTATATACAGGTTGGATAAGCTATGAACATATTTACAATATATGAATATATGTACAGGTTGCTATTAATAGTCAGTAGTGTGCAGATAAATAAGCATGATTACAAGTGTATATGTATAGTGGGTGTGTACATAATTACAAATGTCCATATGCAGTGGGTACGTACAGTTCAATAAGTAAACAGTTCAATGTGGTGCAGTGAATATGTGCAAATTTTAAATGTGTAAATGTTAAACAGTGCAGTTATTGCGAGGAGTTTAAGTTAGAGGAGAGTGAATTTGAGCTCTTACTGTTAAATTCAATTGAATTGAATAATTTCAATAATATTTTATAAGAAGTTTTTAAATTGTTTTATTTTCCAGAGACAGGCCTGTTTAATTTATTTTCTTAAAGAAGGTTCAGTTTAACAAGTTGAAACAAAAGAAACACATAAAAAATAGTTTACTTGGTAATAAATTATTTTATTTAAATAAATTTAGCATTTCAGTTTAATTTTAAATTTTTATTCCAAATATCGAGATACATATCGAATCGTGAACATGGTATTGTGATAAACATTGTATCGTGAGCTGAGTGTATAGTTACACCCCTAGTTTATACTGTATTAAAATGCATTTATCTTTAGGATGCAACACGGCAGATTGATTGACAGACAGTATGATCTGCTACTGTGACAGCAAAAACTCAGCGATGACATTTATAACTCTGAACAGCTAATCCCTAAAGCAGGCTATAATCGACGGCGATACAATTGACATGAGGATTTAAGAGCGGGGACAATAAAAATATCCGTCCAAAAATAGCCCTGGCAAAGAGAGCTGGAGAGATGGACAAGAAAGAGCGAGCGAAAGCCTCACAGATGGAAAAAGGGGCTGGTTGGAGGAGGGAATGTTTCGGAGTCTGATCTATGAGTACAGCTGTGTTTACACTGAAGCCGTGGAAGCTCGCTGACATTTAGACAGGAATGAGAGCTCGGTGATTTCTGTGAATGTCCCTTAGAGCCCGAGCGGCGGCTCTCATCCACGTCATGCTGATCTGCGCTTCAACAAACCACCCGCATGGTCAGTAATACAGAGGGTTTTACAGCATTACCACCTACAGAGAGCGCAAAATCAGGTATTCAGGGTATGAGACGATTGTTGAGAAGCAATGCACAACCTTAAAGGTCCCATCAAATTAAAATAAAGCATTGTTAGTATCTCTGATGTAAGTTTTTAGGATGACTGTTATACCTAAAGTTGTATTAATTAAAAAAAACTTAGATGCAATAAACGTAAATACTAAATGTTTTGCTCAATTACTTAATTGTAATAATTAATAAGGCGATGCAGTGGCGCAGTGGGTAGCACGTTCGCCTCACAGCAAGAAGGTCGCTGGGTCGATCCTCGGCTCAGTTGGCGTTTCTTTGTGGAGTTTGCATGTTCTCTCTGCGTTCGCGTGGGTTTCCTCCGGGTGCTCCGGTTTCCCCCACAGTCCAAAGACATGCGGTACAGGTGAATTGTGTAGGCTAAATTGTCTGTAGTGTATGAGTGTGTGTGTGTATGTTGTTACCCAGAGATGGGTTGTGGCTGGAAGGGCATCCGCTGCGTAAAAACTTGCTGGATAAGTTGGCGGTTCATTCCTCTGTGGCGACCCCAGATTAATAAAGGGACTAAGCCGACAAGAAAATG